AGGAAGGCCGATTTCACGTCCAGGTGATGAATGCGCCAGTCCTTCGCTGCTGCCATAGCCAGCAGTAGGCGAACTGACTCCATGCGTGCCACTGGTGCAAAAACTTCCTCAAAGTCGATGCCCTTACGCTGGACGAAACCGCGAGCAACGAGGCGCACCTTATGCTTGACTATGGCGCCACTTTCGTCCCGCTTGACCTTGTAGACCCATTTGAGCCCAATTGGATGACAACCTGGAGGTGGATCGACGAGCTCCCACGTCTCATTTTCCTCGATCGCCTTCATCTCCTCTAGCATAGCTCGTCTCCAACTGGCATCGCGCTCGGCCTGCGCGAAAGTCGATGGCTCCTCTGCACTGACGAAGAGCAGCTCCTGATCGTCGAGTAACCGGCTTGCCAAGCCTGGTACAACCGAGTTGCCAACGAGGTTGTCCATCTAGTGAAACCTCACCTCCTCACCGTCGTGGAAAACATCCACATACTCGTCGATGTCGCTTGGAGGAGAGGTGAACTCAACTGTCGTCGCTGGAGGTGTCCCCTGTCCTGCCGCAGCAGGGGACTGTGGTGGGGCCGTGTGCGCAGCTGCTGGTGGAGACTCTTCGCCCGTGCCCATGGCCGGACTTTGCGGCTCCACCGACGAACCACAGTTGCTGGACTTGGCGCGTCCGCAGCTGGCTCCTCTGCTCCCGCATCTCCTCCGTGGATCACCAAATGCTCGATGACAAACGTACCGCCGACGCCACGGGCTTCTCCCGTGCCAGGATTCTCCCAATCCCACGCCGCCATTTCGTCGAACACCACATCTCGCGAGACCACCACCTTGCCTCCACGTGGATCGTAGAGCCGATAGGCCTTGCTCCCCTCCTCGTAGCCTAGGAACACCATCGGTGTGCTATCCTCAAGCTTGGACAGGAAGGGCTTCGTCTTCTTCACATGGCCAATGCACCCGAACGTCCTCAGAAACGAGACGTCGGGCTGCCTGCCATGCCAAGCTTCGAATGGTGTCATGCCCTTCAGGGCCTTCGTGGGCGCGCGGTTGAGGATGAACACCGCCGTGCTCACAGCCTCTCCCTAGAACTCCGCTGGCATGCTCTTTGCCTTCATCATGCTTCGAGCCATGCCCACCACGGTTTGATTTCGCCTCTCCACTACGTCGTTTTGTTGTGGTGAATATGGCGCAGTATGATGGCGAACCACCCCCAGATCTGCACAGTACGCGGCAAATTCCACAGATGTGAACTCACCACCGCGATCCGTTCTTAGTACGCACAGCCGCTTCCCGGACTCTGCCTCAAACCGCGCCTGGAACCGCTTGATCGCCTCCGCCGTCTGATCCTTACTCGTTAGGAGATGCAACCACATGAAACGGCTACATTCGTCCACGAGCAGCAGGAAGTAGCGTTGCCGTGCGTAGCCGGCGTGATCGGCCCGCAGAGGTCGCCGTGGACGAGCTCGAGGACGTCCGCTGCACGATACTTGGCCGCCTTTGGAAAAGGCAGCCGCCTCTACTTCCCTGCCAGGCAGC